CTGGAAGGAATGAAAACAGCGGCAACACAAGTGAAACTACACGAAGTCTACGAAGAAGTAGACATTTCTACACTTGACTCCTCTACAATAAGGGAAGCAACCCCTACGCGATGGGTGCACCGTGAGAAAGGACTACAAGTTCGCTCACGCATCGTTGCAAAAGGCTACAGCGAGAAAGTCGACGACGAGGACTCATCTACACCAATGTTCGCAAAACTACGGATACTTCTACTCCTACAACTAGCACGACCAGGATGGACAGCGCGGCCAGGAGACGTATCTACAGCATTCCTACACGCACCACTCTCACAGCACAACGAAAAGCCAACCTACATTTGGCCACCAAAGGAACTCTGCCCACGACAAAACAAACTGTGGCGACTACGAAAAGCCATGTACGGACTACGCAGTTCACCAAAGGCATGGCAAGACTACTTAGCGCAAGTCCTACAAGAACTACGCTTCAAACGACTAAAGTCCGAACCCAATGTCTACACTTTGCCTACAAGAGACTGCTACATCATGGTGTACGTTGACGATCCACTTGTTCTTGGCGACCCAACTACAGTCAACAAGACCTTTGAGGCGATCCAACAACGAGTACTACTCAAACACATTGGCTACATTGAACCACAACAACCGCAACAATTCCTTGGAAGAATCATCGAACACAACGGTGATCACATCACCTTCGGACTGGCCGACTCCTACATCAACAACATTATTGAGGAGGCAAGCCTCACGAACTGCAACCCTGTGGCTACACCTGGAATAGCGCACTACAAGCCCACAGTGGAAGATGAAGCACTACTTGACAAAGAACAACACAAGAATACAGATGTGTTGTAGGAAAACTACAATGGCTAGCCTACACACAACCAGACATTGCTTACTCGACCAAAGCACTTGCGAGAGACCTCACAGCACCTACAGAACTTTCCAACAAACGAGTCAAACACTTACTACGCTACCTTCAAGGAACCAGGCACTACAAGTTCATAACACAAGCGCAACACTCAACTCTAGCACCAACAACTGCCTCGACCTTGAGATCTACGTTGATGCCGATTGGGCAGGATGCCCAACCACACGCAAATCAACATCAGGCTTCAACATCAAACTACTCAACGCAACGATAGCGTTTGGAAGCCGAACTCAAGCTACAGTTGCTTTTAGCCCAACAAAATCAGAGCTCTACGCAATTTGCACAGGAGTGAATGAAGGACTACACCAGAGATCCTTCCTCCTGGAAACCAGCGTATGCACTACAATCAACATACGCATTCGCACCGACTCTACAGCAGGCAACTACACGACAAGGTTCAAACCAATAAGCGAGACACATCGACCTCAAGTTCCTCTACACACAAGACCTCATCAGGAACAACATTATCAAAATAGCAAAGATCAACACACTTCACAACAGCGCAGACATCTTAACAAAGTACACTACAAAGGACACAGTCACACGACTTGTTCAGTCACTGAGCATGAGTGTGTAACTACCAGCAGCAACAACAACAACGACCGTTTCACAACACACCTTTTTTCCCCGTTGGCGGCGCTTTTCACCCGCGCGTTGACGGGTTAGGGCAACACTACATTTGCTGATTGTCTGCTCGTGCCTGCAGCCATTTGTTTTGCTCCACTTTTCACTACACTAGTCCATTCGTGCCTACTACAGCCATGGCCACTGGACCTTCGAGCGTGGGTGCTACGATGGGTGTGACTACACCTGACCGAGCATCAACTCCACTCGCTGTGGAAACTTCAGACTCAAGTGACCAAGGGTCACTACCGGCGCCAGCCTACAACGAGAACGACTACCGATTCAACCACACAACGCCCGGCGCTACACTTTACTACCAGCCAACAGCAATCACTGAGCAACCGCGCATCATAGAAAACCAGACTGCAACCACACTACACCTCAACGACCACACTCACTACATCCAACCCTTCACAGCACTTACTCTTGAAGAGTATCGACTACTTTCACTACAACAAACAACACCACTCGACCGCCTTGACTACAGTCGACCGCTCCAACGCATCCCAGGCGACCTAAGGAAGCCACACTACGACTCCACACTACTAAGCATCACAATGGCAGAAGCATGCGATGTGCACTACTACCGCACCACTTCATTCCACACCACGACTGGTCACCCTGACCGCTACGTTGTTGTCAAACTACACATTGAGCAAGAGCTACTGCTGAGGTATCTTTCCTCAGGGCAACTACTTCATTTCACCCGGACTACAGCTCCCACATGCTATCCACTACCTGACCTACTTCACTACCTCAATTACGATCAACTACACGACTAGAAAGCAATCACTACCACTCCCCACAAAAGCACACACTACTACGGCTTCACACTACTCACCATGACCGACCTCACTCCACCGCAACGACTACAACTCAACAACTACCTTCACTGTCACAACCTACAGCTGGCAGCGATCGATGACAATCGACTATGGGGAGCACCCTATTTCAACAACTACTTTGTCACACACTACTTCAGCACACTCGACGACAGGCTGTAGCTAGTGCGCAACTACAGACTTCACAACTGGCAGCAGCATGCTTGATCACTACATGCTGGACTACATCATTTGAGTCGCTGAGACTACTGAGGGTCAACTAGGACCCTGTACAGTCACTACATTCTTTGGCCTTTGAAGGTTAGACGAACTACAGCCAGCAGCGTTGTAGTAGACCTACCTTCGGTCATTTTTTGCAGACCAAAAAACTACATGTTAGTTCCTTTTGGATTCCCCCTTTTTTCAATTACGGTTGCACAACACTTCCAGGTTGCACAGCCGAGGGGGCGTGTTAAACTACAGTGAGTGCATGATACAGTGGCATGTGCGCTACACTGGTAGTTGATACATACTGCAGGCCTTGAGCCTCACTACCGCTGGAGAGGAAACAAGGGCTGCGGCAGACTACGTTTGTTTGCGATAAAGATTACACAGCGTTTGCACTTGTATTTAACGAGAGCGAGAGAGAGAGAGAGAGAGAGAGAGAGAGAGAGAGAGAGAGAGAGAGAGAGAGAGAGAGAGAGAGAGAGAGAGAGAGAGAGAGAGAGCGAGAGAGAGAGAGAGAGAGAGATGAAAACACTCGCTGGTGCAAACGCAGCACTTGGGCATGCAGTCGGCAAGGGATGGAGAAAATCCGTCGCTTGCCGTCTCACTCCACGCCGCCAGTGAGCGCACTACTTTGCAGAGTTGTTTAAGGATCTCTCGCGCCCCGTAGATCAGCCCGCTTCTGTTCAGGAGGGGTGTTGTCGCGGAAGCGGATCAGGCAGTCAGGTGAGATGCCAAGATGCCTGGCGCAGGAAAGCTGTGAATTGAAGAGCAACGGGGACGAGGGGCATCTCGCCACGATTGTGAAGATACGGGGTGAAACCAGCGCCATGGTCGTGCTTGCTGAGGAAGAGGACGTCCAATAATGTGTCGCATATGCCCCGCGTGTGCGACACCCCAGACGCTTTTTGTCAACCCCGAAGACTGCAGAAGCGAGAAGTTGCCGAAAGAAGCAGACGGGCGGCAACGACACGCTTCGCCCGGTAAGCGCAACAGATGTAGGATGGGGATTACCATGTCTGCGATGAAGGGAAGGAAGATTCCCACAATGCGTCACAGCATTGCCAGGCCAAATCAGAACGCTTCGATGAGGCTAGGGAAGCCGGCTATCTCGCAGGATTCATTGCCCAAGCGCTCTACGTTTCTGCCAGCAGATTGAAAGAAATGAAGCCCAAGAGGTCTCCGAGAAGTTCTGCCCGATAGGACGCGGGAACTGGTGAAACAATTGCGGCAGCACGGTGCGGAAGAAGTTGCCGTTCATTCGAAGAGACAAAGAAGGTGAAGTTCTGCCTCCGACAAGAGAAGAAGTTGCAGATTCAGAGCTGTTACGAGAACGAACGCGAATGAGCAAGCGAGACCAGGAGGGACTTGACAGAGATTTTGTACTGAGGATCAGCAGGTTCGCGATCAGGGACGAACCCGAACAGCCGAAACTGATTGTTCCGTCTTTCCGTATTCCTGTGCGTTTCGCTGCCAGTGCGCAATGGCATAATTTGGAAGCTTACAGTTCTACATGGATGCGATTTGGGATGAGTGGGTGGGCAGGAGTGGTTTGCGGTAGGCTAGCCCGAATTCTCCTAATATCGCTGTATTCTCCCATGTACCTGTTATGCGTTCTCATTGATGATGCGTTACATGTGCAGGAGGTGAGATTGCGGCATTGCAAACATTTGCATGGTATTACTTTCCATTGGTATGACCGCAATGATCGTGTCCTTCATACAATTCGATAGGTATGCGCCGCTGATGATTGCCCTCGGTTTGTGTCATATTCAGTATCATCTCCAGACTGTTTCCCTATGACTCAGCGATGGTTGGGTGGATACTGAGCACGGCTGACATCTGGATGCCGCGAGTTCACTCTGTGAGACAACAGGTTTCTGTCCTCAATGATGCGTGCAGCCTGTGTACAGGGCTTGCGTGTCCCACGTCAATGGTTCGTTTGATGTGTTTCAAATACGGATCCCGGACCCTGGAGGTTTGTTTCAGGAGTCGTGCAAAATAGAACAGTAGTGTTTCAACATGGCCATGATGAGCAACCGTTGGTTTGTGAAATCCCAGACCCCGTGCAATATTTGCAGTCGTCTTCTGACGGCAATCCCTTTGTTTACGTCTTCGGTCCCCAAACTCTGTGTTGAGGTGTTGGTTCATGGCGCTCGTGCATTTGCTCAAGACAACAGTTTGCTAACCACAATCCCGATTGGGCGGCGGGTGAGGGTGTTTAAATGCCTGCGACAGCCGTACCAATCCTGGCGCTGGCATTGATTGGTTTTACTTCAACGGTGTTGGTTCCGCCCTTCCCCTGTTCCGACATTGTGCGCAAAGCCAACTTTCACCACATGTCGCTTCCACGGAAGTTCCTTCCACCTCGAAACATGTGAGACCAGCTCCACTGCTCGTTCCAGGTGAGGGAAAGCCTTTGAAGCCAGAAGAGGATGCCAAGAAGCTTGTGCGCATCTACACAGCTAGTTTCTGAGATTTAGTCGGGGCTTTCGCACAATCAAACGTGGCATTGCTAAGGCCATGTGTGCAATCTGGTCATTGGGCGCCAATTTGCACGAGAACTCGCCGCCGTCTAAGATGCAAGATTTCCGAGTCCATTTTGAGTGATGGCGTTGTGCAGGCGGAGCAAGTTTGTGTCACGCATCCGTCCCCGCCTTCAGCTGTTCTGCCCAGAGGCTGTTTGCATGAGCATTATGCTTGGTGATTCGCATTGTCAACATTTCGATATGACAACGTGCATCAGATTCCTGACGGTGGCGATTTGTACATGCCGCTTGCTCCAAGAAATGCTGTGCAGCATTGGCTTGCATGCCCCACTGTTCAGTTTGATTTTGGAATCTTTGGCAGCTTTGCCCACTTAAAAGGCTAGGAGCATGATGCGTCACCTCAGGATGGCAGTCAGCGACGATGATGCTAGGGTCCATCCACTTGCAGAGATAGTGCCACAGTTTCAGTTCCATCCTGACGAGCAAGAGCCCCAGGAAAGCCGCAAAAGCATACAGGATTGCATGTGGACATTTAGGCGTGATTTCATGAAGCTGACTCTAGGCCTTTCTTCAACATTTTGGTCAACACATCCGAAACAGTTGGTCAGCGGATGATGGTCACATTCTTAGCAAACTGTCATCAATTGCTCCAGCAGGCTGTCAGTCTGTGCAAGTGGTCGCACTCATAAAATACCCAGATCGAAAATATGATGATGGCCAACTTCCACGTCCTCTTCAGTGGAGAGACAGGCAAATGTTCTACACAGTGCGATGTGCACGTGCACGAAGAAGGCAGGCTAGCGATCACTTGCAAATCCAAGGTGTGGGCAAGTCCGTTGTCATCCAGCAGTACTTGAACACGGTTTGGCCTCAGATTGAGCGGACACGTTGCAGAGATGCAATCGGGAGGCCGGAGAGTTGTTCTCGACCGCCTCTGCAAACTTCAGTGCTCAGACCAGCACTTCCAATGTCGGGAGCTTACGCAAACTTCAGAATGAGCCTTGAACTGTTGCACATTTTCTGGCCCTGATAAGTATGTACGTTGTGTCGTTACGGTGATACACACGAATACTTCTGCCAGAGAGTACTTTTTCGGTACATCCACCAGAAGTATTTGGTACTATCTTCGTTGCATAACGCAATGTAATTAGTGACATACAAACAGAATTGTTGCATTGCAGGACACACACACACACGCAAAGCAAACAAGCAACAACAACAGTTGCGACCCATTGCCTGCCACAACTTCAAGATGACATTGCCACATATGGTGATGACCTGTTTCGAACTATTGAGTAGCACCCTGCGAATCAACCTACGGACATGTTGTGATGGGGGTGTGCCACCGCCACGATTTACAAGCAAAGCCCAGACATTTTGTACACTAATCTCTCTTTCAACTTTGTTGCTGGCATAGTGAAGCTCTGCCAACAAATTTTGGGACTCTTGTATGGTGTTTAGCTCAACGGAGACTGAATTGGTACAACAACAGATAATGATGACGGTAGAACCACAGGTGATTTCCGGATGTATGAGCACTGACAGGTTGTAGACCAGTTCGAGAACCGCTTGGAGCGCAAGCGCAAGACTCTTCTTGGGGCTCCTCCCGGAACGACTATGCGGCTTCCTCAGTTGGGAAGCTGCAAGTGCGACGCATTCGTGGTTTTCAGATTTGCTGCAGGATTTTCTTTGTGGATGATGTGAACATGCCGATGCTGGAGTCACATCCTGAAGTGAGTTGATTGATTTGCTAGATTCGATCTGTTTGGCTGCCTTCGAAGCTACGGTGGCCGCAGGCACTATGGGGCACAGCCGCCCATTGAGCTCTTGCGCCAGGTGAGCAGATGCTGCACTTTGAAGTCTTGGCTTCCCATCTATCAACATATGTTTTTTCTGGTCTCATGGCACACACTTTTGCTGTTTCATTCTTGGCCTCAGAGGCGTTGCTTGCCCATCTTGCCCGGATGCTATTGGCAATTCTCCACCTATGCTGGCCGATGCTACGTGTTTATCAAAACTCCTTGCTCCTGTTGTGTCCAGCTTATTTGCCTCGTGCTTCTCTGCTGCACCTATGCCTCGCATTGGTTTCATGTCATTGTGCCTCGTCCAGAGAAGTCTGGTCATGCCCATTGCCTTTCTCCTATGCCTACCTTTGATGCCAGCAAAGGGCAGTCTTGCATCTACCTTGACCTGGTTTCATGGTGTTTCAGAAGAGAGTTTCTTCCTTATTCCGTGAGGGAGGGCAGGATCAGTCAACCGGCTGGAGTTGAGAGAATAGCGTTGAACACCTGTCCCTCATGTAGTCTTTTGCTCTGCATGACAAGCATTCTGTTGCGCCGTGTGCGATACTCTTGTTTTTGTTGAGAGTTGTGAGCCTTGCGCGATTTGCTGCTTGTATTTCCCTTTCCTTGCACTCACCAAGCTTTGCCATACGCTCATTGGACATCAATCAGACATAGATCCTGGGTATATATTCTGGTTACTGCGGAGCCCTCTGCGGCTTCTTTGGGGACCCCACAGTCTCAGGGGGCGGCGGGGTGGGTGGCGGGGGATTGGCAGGTAGACCGATTGGAAGGGAGCGGAGTTCCTCCCTCAATAAACGGGGAAGCTCTTGATGCACGCATTTTTGTTTGTTGTTGGGTTTGTTTCGCTCTGAGCCTTGAGCGCCTGTGTCGATTTTGGATTGGGAAGGCATTGGGCCCAGAACAGCAATAACCTTTGGCCGCGGTTGTTCGCCTCCTTTGGTTGCACGGACAACCAGAGTTCTTGTCAACTGCCAGGGCGCGCATGCGATAAAGCCATTCCGGAAAGGAAAGATACTGAGCAGGATGAGCAAGAAAACCTGAACAAGACACGGAGCAAAATACGAGGCACAAGATAGGAAGAAACGTTGGCGATAGACGACATACTGGGCCATCTAATCGAAAGAGTAGGTCAGGCAAGATACTGAAAGCAAAATGCCGCGAATAGAATGAGACACAACCACGATTGGAAGGAAAAGGCAATGCAGCCATGCAGCGCAATTGAACAGAGGTTTGACTTTGTGAAACTCACAGTTTTTTTCCTTCCCCTCCCTGACCCCTGCTGTGCTTCATATTATGAGCCTTGCGCATTGTGCGAAGCTTAGGTGTCTTGGCAAGGCTTTGTCTGCTTTGTCTGCCCTGCCTGACCTACTTGTCCTGCTTGTTCTGCTTGGTCCGCTTGCCCTGATTGTGCTGGTTGCTCCGCTTGTGTTGCTTGCCCTTCTCGCCTGCTTGCTTTGTTTGCTCCATCCCTGCTTTCCCTTCTTGTTCCCTTGGAAGCTTGGGAGGGGCAACACATTGGAAGTCCCGGAAGTCCTGAGTATTCGTGGTTGTACTTTAGATCCCTTGAGAGCCTTCAATCGCTTCAAAGCTCCCGGATTGGGCAGTCTTGTTAGCGTTTCTTGTTGAGGGGTGCGATCGGGAGGCAAAAAACCAGATTTAGTTGCTTGATCCGTACTTCTTCTCCGAGATGCCATGCCATGCTTGTGCCTTGCTTGCGACATGTATTTGGTCAGGTGATTGACTATGGCGGATTCTATGACAAGAAGAAGTTGTTTTGGCCCGACCCCGAGGCAGTACGCGAGCTTTGCATGACGCGACAAGCAGCATGGGCTCTGTGGCTGCGCTGCGATTTCAATAACATTGTATGCGCCGAGGAAGCAAGTTGCCGATACCCAGTTCATTTGTGCTTGCGGACCTCCCGGCGGAGGGCGTATGCCTGTCACACCCAGGCAAGGATGAAGCAAACGTGGCCATGGTTTGATGGCTTCTTGAAATGGCAACATGCACAGACAGGCTGTTCCGTCATTTCAACATGATCTGGATCCCAGTCAGCATCTGAGCACTGAGCATGATTTCGGGCGCAATTAGATGAGTTGCATGGCCCAGCTCAGCTCAAAATGGCTTGGTGCAGTTTACTTTGTATGTCCAAGGCTCTGTCTCAGGATGCCATGCATCGCATCCTTTCCAGCATTCTAGGCGGGTTGCACTTTCCTGGCAACCTTGCGGCGGTGTCAGTGTTATGGGTCTGCAAACTTTTGTGCAGACCAATGAGTTGCCTCCTGCCGTAAATCACTGCAGGCTTTGCACACCGCAACTTGCGTCGGCTCAAGTGCATCTCATGTCTCAAATGTTGCTGCCACTTATGCAACATCTGCATACAACAGCATCATGGCAACCCAGACTGCAGCTCCTTGTTGTGATTTAGGGCTTCGGTAGCCATCACATCAACTGCAGCTTTAGTGGAGTATCGGAATCCCAGCTGCATCAAGATGTGACTGCATTGTGACATGCTTGGATCATGTGGCGTTGCCGAGGACAAGTCATCATGGCCAGCGGCGGCTGGTTTGGTCCCAATGCAGGCAGCTACAGCGGCCTGCTTCTTACAAATTACTTTCAATTTAGGGGTAATCGGACATTCATGTGGCGCCTGCATGCTTGTTTGAATTCATATGGGCTGTTCATGTTGTGTTGAGGCGGCGGCGGCGGCGGTGGTAGTGGAGGTGGTGGGTACAGCGGCGACTTCGGGGGCGGCAACTTTGGATTCGGCAGTTTCGGAAACGACTTCGGCGACTCCTGGAGCGGAGGCTGGGATTGACGCAGACAACACGCAGACAACGATGGACTTTTAATTCTCGTACTCTTGTAGACCTTTGTGGCCAAAAAAAGTCTTGGCAAGATGCAACTGTTCACGCTGTCGGCCTGTCGGCGCCTGGCTTCAGGCAAGGGTGGCATGAAAGGTGATGCTGGGAAAGGTGGTGGCAAGGCTATGTGCATCTTGGCGGTGTTGAGTGGGAGGAAGCTTGTGAGAGGCACAATACATTTGCTAGCATGCGCTTTGCTATGTGGCTTTTTAAGGGTAGATACCTGAGTCTTGTACCGAGCAAGTATGTGCTTCAGTAGCGACATGCAGATCTAATACTAGTTGTCTTGCAACTTGATGCTGTGAGAAGCAAACCAAAGCACAACACTAATTTTTATCCAAAAACGGACAAACATAATCCGCACAAGAACAGCCAGACAACATTGCCATGCTTCTGTGCACTAGCCAACACCTATGAATCACGGATGCTGAACGCCTCCTCGACAAGCACCAAGGGTTATGTCATCCATGAACGGTTGCTCACATAGCTCAGACTTCGAACTCAGCTCGCTTGCAAATAAATCATGGCACCATACACATTGTTTGACAGGCAATTAGTTTGGGTCATAGTCAAGTCTGAGAATTGATACATCATAAGTGTGGTGGGAGGAAGCGAATAGAGTATAGCTGGACACTCTTTGCTGGCCTCTTTACTGGCCATTCGTTCTTCGATCAGACGCATGTCAAGCCTATATCGCTGCCCTTCTTGACTTCTGCTGTCACCGCGTGATGGTCGCGTACTCGCATCATGGAGTGTATATCTTTGTTGCCGGCCCAGGAAATCAAACAGACAGAGACGTTTGTCCACTGTCCTGGGTTGGACTTTTTTGGTCCAAACTCTTCAAATGTGAGCTTGGATTGCTGCTTTTCTTGTTGACATAATTCCTCAAACAGTCTACTGTAGACGTTCTTGATTCTTAAAGAGTAGACGGGTTCGCCTGGACGGGTTGCTGCCGCCTTGTCTCCCTTTGTCCCCTTGTCTTCTCCCTTCATATGTGCTCCAGGCTGGGTTCGCCTGGGCGGGATCCTGCTGCCTTTGTCTCCCCTTGTCTCCCTTCATATGCGGTTTGCCTGGTCTCCCTTTGTTTCCCTTTGTTTCTCCTTGTCTCCCCTTGTCTCCCACACTAAGTTCGCCCGAACGCTCTTCTTGTCTCCCTCGTCTCCATATGCCTGGAAGGGTTCCTGCCGCCTTGTCTCCCTTTCCTTTTTTCTCGCCGTGTCTCCATTCGTAGGTGCCTCCAAAATTTGCTGCCGCCTTCTTGTCTCCCTTTGTCTCTCCTTTCCTTCATATGTACACAAAGCTGGGTTCGCTCGGGTTCCTGCCTCCCTTTGTCTTTTTGTTTCTGCTCCAGGCTCGGTTCTAGTCTGGTAGGTTTGCCTGGACAGGTGGCTGCCGCCTTGTCTCCCTTTGTCTGCCCTTGTCAAGGGTTGCTGCCGCCTTTCATGTGCTCCGTGCTAAGTTTGTCTAGACGGGTTCCTGCCGCTCCAAGCTAGGTTCGCCTGGGCGGGTTGCTGCCGCCTTGTCTGCCTTTCTCTCCCTTCCTTTGTCTTTCCTTGTCTCCCTTCATATGTGCTCTAGGCTGGGTTCGCCCGGACGGGTTGCTGCACACGCTCGCTGGGCTGGATGCTGTCACGAGATGGTCTGGCTCGGCCAGCTCTTCTCCCAACTGACGCTGGATGCTGTCACACTTGTTTCCATTTGTCTCCCCACTCGATTCCTCACGTGCTTCCTGGGCTGGATGCTGTCGAGATCATCTAGCTCGGTCAGTTCTTTGTCTCCCCACTTGTTTCAGACCGAGCCAGACTCGTGACTCGGTCAGCTCTCTGTCAGCCTTCCCACTTGTTTCCTCACGCGCTTGCTGGGCTGAAGCTGTCACGAGATGGTCTGGCTCGGTCAGCTCCTTGTCTCGCCACTTGTTTCCTCGCGCGCTTTTGCAGGAAAGCGCCCTGTCGCAAGCTATGTTTCACGAGGTCTGGTTGCAACTGTTTGGGGTCTTCGGTGGTGTAACTGTTTTGTTTAACATTCTTCTCTTTCCATTCGTCATTCATCCAGAAAACAGCCCGTCATGGCAACACCAACTGCTTTGTAATCCTTGGTGAAAGAAACATATCATTGTCAAATATATAGGGTATGCCCATCCGCTTTAGCGGAAGTGGCGGCTTAACACAACGATAGTGTCCTTGTAGTCTTTGGGGTGTCTTTGCGAATTTCAAGTGAGCTTTTGTTGCGCTATCGCAGGAGCTGTTGAAAGGATAGGTTGGGCAGGCTTCCGTCGCATTTGGCCGCATTTACTACCAGGTCCAAATTGACAATTTGAGTCCGCAGAGTTGTCCATACAAAGTTCCGGGGGGCAAGTGTTGAGCCCGAGACGCCAGACGACTCTTGCCGATTCAGCAGCCAAACCACTGTGTTGTACTGATTTGCTGTTGGGCATGTTCGAAGGGTGTGCGCACTGATCACTTTTGGCATGACTGAGGTAAGTTCTTCCTGCAAGGTAACTGCACGCGTGGCTCATCTTGTGCATTTTCGCATGGCGGCGATGGTGGCAGAAGCAAGGCCTTTCCGAGGGAGCTGCGCAGATATTTGGCATTCTCAATTTCTGCTTGACAGGAGTTTTGTCCTCCTGCTGGTGGCAAAATGCCCCAATGCAACCTGGCAGAATAGTAAGCAATTGTAAGCCATTCATGATACACTTTGTCAGCCATTGGTGCTTGCAGGCAAGTTCTTCTTGCAGGGCACGTGTGCCAAAGGACGATCATGCCAATTCTCGCACGATAGAGAGGTGGGCTTTGCTGATCGTTGAAGGGCTACACATAGCTTCTGAGGCCGACGAGCCTGATGATCCAGACCTCCTGGAAATTCAGGTTCCTTCAGATATGAGTCATAGAGTCATACAAGCATGTCATGTATTTGGATACCTTATCTCACCAGGATGCCATCGACAAAGTGAAGTTGAAGAAGGATGACGAAGACGCTGCGATGATGGCCGAAATGGATGAACTTGTAGAGGCCTTTTGCCCAGGTTTTTCTTAATATGCCCGCAGTTTTTGTTCATTCAGGAAGAAGAGCGCCAACCTGCCGATGACAATGAGAGCGAAGCTGCAGCCTCGGTTTGCTTCTTTAGGCTGAGCTTGGCATTTTGCACCAAGAGATATCACTCTGCCGTGAGGGAAGCGATGCACTACCTCCCCCAGCAACAGAAAAAGAAATTGCAGAAGCTCAAGAGATTGTAAAGCGAGCACAGGCGCTTGCAATCTGAGACTTGCGGCTTTACAAAATGGTGTTGCCAGGATGACCTGATTGAGCGCAACAAGATGAAGGCGCATCTTAAGATGCTGCTTGCTTGCTTGCCTGCCCATTCTCTGTCGCAGGCAAAGGTCAAGGATGCCAACAAAAGTGATCTCCAGGCCGTGTGCCCGTGTGCTAATGGCTTGTGTTTCTGCTTAGCTTATACCTCACTGTCAGATTGCAGGTGCCTTTGTGGCTTGTCATTCCTGTTCCCTCTGAGGCAATGATCAACGCACGCTTGAGCTCCAGACGATGAAGGCAAGAGCACCGATGGGACAGTGCGGCTGTGATTTTCTTGAATGCTCATCGCACATAATAATACATATCATGATTTCGAAGAAAGACTTGCCGGCTCTGCTGTCAGGTGCTCATCGTGCCTGTTTTCGCCAAGTGACTCCATCTCAGATATTGTTCTTGTCATATTCCTGCTTGAGTCAGCATTGATGACTTTCAGTAGTGTATGTTGACATCGAGGAGTTTCAACTAGACATGCATGTGTAGTTTGATTTGTGCGGGCAATTCCGCTTGATAGTCCACATACAGTTTTTCTGTGGGAAGACAAACCAAACACTTCCAACCCTAAACAACAACCGCACTCCAAATGGAAACAAATCATTGACTCACTACGATAGCAGAAACATCACGTGCTTTCGTGCGTTCTGAACCTCCTACCAGGAAATATCAGCATGTAGAGTTCCTTGCAGTCTGGCCGTCCAACACAGATCATCCGGCAGAATGACACGCAGGGTCTAATTATGCGCAACTGCAACTGCGCGCAATATAGAGTAGCAACGTTGAACGGGTTCGCGTTTGAGTGGGGCATTTTGACTGCAGGTCTGTGTCTTGGAAGATTGGTTTGACTTCGTCCCTTGCTTCTTTGACGCTTTTAGCATCACGCTAGGTTCTTGTCTTGACAGAAGAAACTCACAGCTTAAGAATGTCTATTTGGAAGCGCAACGGCAACGCTTGGAAGTGTGCAGACCTTTGAGGGCTCTGAGTCCATACTTTAGAATAAGAAACATGTAGGGCTTATCGAGGAATCGTCGGTGGCTGCTGGCGAGCTGGCTTTGTCCTGTGAGTGCGAAATATTCTGGAGATGTAGCCACTTCTTTGAGTAAAGGGCAGCTGTGCATCTGCGCATGATTTGGAACATGGCACATGGGCTGGCTTACTGTTGGCTATTTGTTGTGTGTTGATATGTTCTTTGGGTCGATGAAGTGGTTGCAATGTGGTTGCCGGTCTGGATGCTCTATCAGCATTTCAGTCGAAAATGCAGGATGCCAGAAAAGTCGATTTCAACGGGAAAAAGAGCGGCACGCAGCAAGAGCTTGGTTCTAAAATTGGGTAGCAACTTGAGCCCCCAGGTTTGCGTAGGCTGTGTGCAGGCGGATGGCTGGGCGTGAACAGAGCAGATCTGCAGTCGCTTGCCGTGCCTGTCATCAATGCTACAGTGCCACAGCTGCAAATGTTACCCGATGATGGGCGATTCGGGTGGTTGCGCAAAGTTTTAATTTCTCTGGCTTTGCTTGCTTAACAGCAGACCTTGTATTGTCGCTGTGAGGTAAAGATGTTCTTCCAGATCTCGCAGGATTTGCTGCCAACCCCTGTGAAGTGCCGCAGCCCAAGTGACTGCAATATCAGCAGTCGGTTTTTGGGTTTGCGGAGGTTGGCTTCCTTGAGTTGCAAGGTCATTACACCTTCAATCTTCGAGACCCGGCCAAGATGATTCAGGGCATGCTGATGGTGGATGTAAAAAGCACCCTCAAGACTGACAAGGCGCCTCACCAATTCACCTGAGTAGACTCACCATTTACGGCCCAACTGAGCATGTGCACACATCAGGATCTGATTGATCTCTTCCTGCACGAGAGTTGTCGCGTTTTCCGGGTGTCTTGATTGAGCGAGTCATGGAGCGTCAGCTGCTGTTTCCGTGCTGAAGCGATATCTTCCTTTCTGGTATCTGAGGATCGTTTGGTCGACGATGTTGACCGAGAATGGTGCCATTCTCAGACTTGGACACTTGCACCTACTGAGTTACGCATGAATCAAGGTTCAACACCATGATAGCAGAGAAGCTGAACGCCGAAATACCCTCTTCAGCAGTCATAGACAAGTGGGCAGCTTACCGCATGTCCCGACTCAAGAGACAAACATCAGACGCGCACCCAGATTCAAAGACATCGTCTTTGGCGACTTCTTGACACGTGGCGGGGTGTTGGACTCAGACATTCTGAGGCACACACGACATTGCAGCAGATTCAAGCCTTTGCTCATATGGAGCTCGCGCAGCTTGATCACGAACCTGCTTTCAGGACGTGAGCCTTTACCAGAGAGCTGAGAATGAAGGCAAGTGTGTCGGCATTTTCCAAGAGATGCTGGAAGACTACAACAACGTGATGCCTACAAAGCTCCGCTGCCAAGTTTGGAGACTTGAACGCCGTACTGGCTGTCGCGTGCCTGACTGAGGATGAACATTGTCTTCTTCAGAGATGCCTGCAGCGCACTTGGCGTTGTAGGTCACAGCTTGGCGCCGCTTGTCGTGCCCTGAAGAAACAGATGTGTGAGGCATGCATTTGGCCCGGGCTGCGAGAACAATACGGCAGCCACGTGGAAATTTGCTGATGGCCGCATGCTCAGCCTCGAACTAGCACCAGAATGCGGGAAAACAAATCCAGGTTGGAGTGAGCGGCGTCGGGCGCAAGTCGATTGCGCGAATTGCTGCTCATATGGCCGAATACCAGTGCTTCTCAATCGAGATTACGCGCACATACGGTGCCAGCCTTGGTGAAGCTGAACGTGCATTTCCTTGTAAGAGATTCTTATGAAGCGCTTTGAACCCCACCAAAGCTAGTTTTTTGTTGCCAGACGCATCGTTGATGTTGCGTGCTCGTTTAGTTGAATCTATGCGGGAGGGCGGGGGGGGGGCAGTGACCCTGTGCTAGCCGTGGTTTTGCGGTGGCTGTGGCGACGCTCCCGCCTGCGACATTGACGAATCAGCCAAGTAGCAACCTTGATAACATTTGATAACCTTCAAACGGGCTGTGCTTTGCATCGGACATCGGCATTTACTATCATTCACTTGCATTAGGGGCTATTCGAAGTGGCCCTGAGGATCTACAGAGTTCAAGGAGGACTTGAAGAACATCATGACTGGTGTTGCCAAAGCAGGAGGCTCCGTGTTTGGCTGTGCTCGTGGAATAGGAATGTGAATCGTGGTACATTGAGGCAAGGGTGTCATGTTCCTCTTTTCCGACACGCAGATTGTAAAGGAGCCATGCCCTTAGATCGCAAGGACAAGCTTTGCTGCCGACTTTCGATGGATCATTTTGTAGTTTCCGCATCTTCACAATTTGCTGATGTGTTTGATGTCTAGGTCCTTCCTGGAAGACATCAACAATGTTCTCAACACTGGGGAGGCATAGGACCTAGTTCGACACTGCATGTTTGTTTGCCCCCCGGCGTGTGTGCCTTTTCTGTCCACTCAGGTGCCAAACTTGTTTGCTCCCGACGAGCTGGAGGGGGTGATGGGCCTCATGCCGCTTTGCATTTGCTAATTTAGATGTCCAGTCAAGAGCCCAAGAGCTCTGTTTGAGGCGGCCGCTGGCGAAGGCGAGGTCCAACGTCGCCAAGTGATGGCTTGTGGAATGCCTCGCAGGCAGCTGGCAAGCCAGAGACCCGCGATGCCATTTGGCAGTACTTTGTTCAGGCGTGAAACGAAAGAAAGAACATGGAAGGACCTGGAAGGACCTGGAAGGACCGTGAACAGAGCGATGCACGTACTTGGCAGTTGATCAGGGAGAACATGCACATTGTATTGGGCCCAGATGCAGCGTTTGAGCAGTTGACTGCTTCTGCATATGCGAATATTCCCATGTGTGAGGTGCTGGCATTCTCACCCATTGGTGAAGGCTTTCGAGCGAGATGCGCCTGACTAAGTTGGGAAGTCTTTCCGCTTCGGACGGCCCATGGTTTCTGAGAGCTTGAGGCCGACAGTTTCCGTCCATCATCAACTGTGCCACCATTGACTGGTTCAGCCCCAGCCAAAGTCTGGTGAGCCTCGTGATGGGGTGACTCCGTGTGAATCATTCCTCACGGTCACGCCATCCATGTTTGCATGAATCAGGCCCTTGGCCTGCAGACGCTTTGTACTCGGCGGCGAGCTTAGCGGATGGAGAGAAAGACGGCTACAACCACTTGCGCACAAAGGAAGCTCCCAAATTGAACAACGAATTGTAAACTCTGAACGCTGCCCGTCTCGGGCAGGCTCAAAAGAGCAATCAATCATAAGAACAACGCCGGCTTGAGCAAATGATACCGGGGCTGGGCTCAAGCGCTGGGAAGGTGACTGGGCTCAGAGCCGGAGCTGTGCTGTGGGTTAGGCTGTGCAACGAGGGATTGGGGCTGGGCCAGAAAAAGAACGTCGCAGGCGCCAGAAAAAAAACAATGGATTCGCAGCCCCAAGGCAGGTGCCAGGTGCAGGCCACAAGTGCTAGGGGGTGGGGGCTCGCTTGAGGGGCGAGGCGAATGTAGATATTGCTTCAATGCTTCTAATCTTGATAAGATAAGGCAAGCAAATAAGCCTCCATGCAGATCATGGATGGCAACATGGGGAACAGGCTGAGCGCAGACTTGTGGTGCTGGTGGAAAACACATGCCGATCCTAAACGGCACTGAAACATGTTCCCAAGTTATTCGCAACAGAGGCATTTGGCGGGTGTGCCTTTTCAGGTGGCTGAGAGGTACTACTCGCAGGCACCAAAAGAGCTTGGCCACAGACCTCAGAGTGCGAGTCCGCGAGCTGCGCGCTCCAGTGACTATGAGTGGCTTTGAGCATATTCACACCAAGCCTTGCTTAAATGTGAGGCCTTGACACGATGGTGGATCAGCTATCCAAGATCTCACAGATCTGCCGGCATGACCTGCACTGCTTGGGAAGCAGTTGCCAAATGGCCACCTTGCCAGGTTCATGCACAGCACATCCAAAGATGCGGCAGATGACTTCTTTGAGAGTCTTGTCCTTGGCCAGACTGCATGTTGTTGCATTTTGATCCACAGGTCTTTTTGCATGACATCTTTTGACTTGGTTGCTCAGGCCTTCGGAGGATAACATACATGACCCCGACATCGTATTTGGAGCTCATTGGTTTGTTCACGGACTTGGTTGGCAAGAAGCCGACAACTCAGCGATGGGAGGTTGCAATACCAGGCTCTGTTGAGTCTGAACTGAGGCGAGGGGAGCTGACTACCAAGCTGGAGCGCTACACGATTGGATCAAAAACACTGAACGAGACCAAATCAGTGGTCGATGATCTGAAGGTGGGGTCTGGAAATGAGACTTGCCGGCGGGGCAGGGGCCCGTGCAGTCAGGACTCCTTGGCTAAGATGCAGCCAGTGCAACTTGGCTCTCGAAGCTGGAACTTGCGTGATACTTCCACAGCAGAGACATCCGAGCACTGAGGATTGAACAGGCCAAGAAAGACACTGCTGAGCTCATGGTGAAGGTCCGATCAATTCAGGGGCCAAAGAGGCGAACCATGATATTTTTGGCCAGGTGCAAGCCGACCAAGAAGTTGCAAGAGAGAAGAGCGAGGCTGGGCAGCCGGATATGTCTGGACCAAGTGAGCCTTCAAAAGGCCACAACACTCCTAGAGGTCACAGATACAGATGCCACAGCCTGGAAAGGCTTGACCTGCAAGGCTTGCGCAGTGGATGAGAAAGTTGCCTCAGAGGCGGCCGCAGAGGCTTGGCAGTCAAGTGCACTCTGTTCTTTCACTCGCGACAGCAACTGCTTAGAGGCGACTGCCATCAAGACAGACTGCCAGAAGGACTTGGATGAGGCCTTGAAATCTGATGCCAACTTCGATTGTTTGCCTACGAGCTCAAGATGCCTAACACATCAGACTGGCAATGCCATGGTCAGTTTGCGTCATGATGTGTTCGAGCAAATGCTCACAGCACAGAACATGCTGACCTACATGTTCTGGCTGCCACTGCACATAGGCACTGCCGGAATACTATGCTGCGATCAAGTCGCTTGACGCTCTCGACAAGAAGGTTGCCAAGTCAGTTGAGAGTCAGTTCATGAAGCTGCCATGGACCACAGGGTGGCGTGTGAGCATGCACGTGTTCTTTGCAGGACATCCAGGAAGTCAAATCATTCGCCAAGCCTCCACCGCTCGTGGAGGCTGGAATGTCATTCCTAAATTCACTGTCAGGCTCCCTGCCTTGGGTTTTGTCCAGCTTTGCCAGGTTGTGCTGAGCGCAGTTTGCCTCCTCCTTGGTGCCGCACTCAGATGGTGTGGAGCTTCTGCCGTCTTGCTGTTTGACAGGGCAGGTTTATGCAATTAAACATGCATACTGATCAGGCGTAAAAGAGAGCTGGGATGATGCCAAGAAGTTGCTTGGCTTTGTCCGCGTTTTCGTTTCACAAATCGGGATCTAAAAAATGCTGAAGATTAGTCGATTGCTAGAAGATACATCTTTCTGCAAGATAGTACATCAGGAAGGGACTGAGACTTGCGAGATTGGGTAATTATTTTGCATGAAAATCATCGGGCGGGGAATGTGGAATCACAAGGCTCATGAATGATACAAAGTTTCTGGACAACCTGAAGTCCTACGACAAGGACTTGCTTGGATTTTTTGTGCTGCTGGACGTCTGGAAATGGAGAATCTCAGACCCTGTGACTGCTTGTACCGTCAAGACGTGGCTCACCTTCTTTGTAGATGGGTCCTGACGCAACAAAAGCCTGGAAGGGAAGTTTAATGATCAAGTCAGGTCAATGATCAAGTCAAATATGCCACAAAGTCAGGACGCTCTCGCAATGAATCAAAAACTCACCCAGAAGCTGCAGAAGTACATCAAAAGGTGGGAATAGTCATCACCCCTCGCACACAATGGAACAAGATTGCACAGCATCGTGGCAATGAGGATGATGTCTGAGTCTGGATGAATTGCTCTTTGACGCAGGGACGACTTTGTTGTTGAGAAGGCATGGAGAAATATGGAGATGTGATTCAATGTGACTCATCACTTTGCCAACTGATCTGCAACTGTGCCAGGTGAAAAGTGTTTCCGCAGCTGCAACTTCGCTGTGTAACTTGGCCAGATCTGAGCTTGCATGCTTTGCAAATTAGACTTTGCGGCCCATGGCTTCATCCAGACAGCATCAGCTGATTTGCCAGGCATGTGGGTGCGTGCCATGGATATTTATGGCCGAGTGTCTCGCGAGATCGAGCCCAAGAAGGCTAGGAATGTGACCTCCATTGCCTAGAAAGAGGATGATCAACATAGATTCGGTTGGCTTTCCAATTCAGACGACCCTGATTGCACGTAATCCTGCATGCACATGCACATATGCATCAAAGCAGTGCCGGTGCAATGTCTTACTATATGTTATATCAAGAAATCAAGCAGCACAATAAGACGCCGTGCTCACACTGGAAACACATGTATTCTGCCTTTGCTTCTTTGGTTCTGCAGGGTAGGCTTGCGCAGACTGTGTGGCATGTGTATGTGTGCACCGCCTTTGCCGCCATTGGTGTGCAGGCCAAGCTGAAGGTTGCCGAGGATTCTCTAGCCTCTGCAGAGGAGAAGTTGGCGATCAAGAAGGCTGGCCGATTGAGAAAGTCACATCACACAAATGTTGGCACTTTGCAAGGCTGCGCCGTGCTTTGGCAGAACGTTGTTCATAGGCTGTTAATCAGGGTTTTATGACAGTTTAAGAGTCAGGCAGGTAGAAATATGCCTTCAGACATGTCAACTGACATGGATCTTCGCCTTATTGCAGGGACGCCGGTTCGTGGCTGTCAAGGTCCTGAACAGAGGGAACGACCAAGTAGACACCAACATCAGTATGCATCATGCACAGCCAGTTTTTAAAGTCAGTGCGATTCACAGCACAGATGGTTTGCAAGGTGGAACAAACCGAAAGTACAGCATAGCCTCAGCTCATAGTCTGATGGCAGCTGGCACGCTCCAACTGACATGGAGTACTATTTTGGTTGCCATCTTCCAGTGGGGGATTTGCACAAATCCAGATTTTGATGTGATCATACTTGGTGCTGGCCCTGCGGGCTTGTCAACTGCACACCATTTGCTTGACACCAACTTGTCTGTTGCTTTGCTAGACAAAGACCGTGTTGGTGGACGTGTCAAAACTTTACAGTACGGTCTGTTTGGCGTGGACCTGGGTCCCGCCTGGATTCACTATGGGACTGCCAACCCCTTGACATTTCTTGCAAAGCAAGGAAATTGCAGCCTTGTACGCACACAAAACC